TCTGTTATGGCAAGGAAGCCCAGAACCTAGGTGCCATCTACAAGAATGCCATGTGATTCTTGTGTTGATGATAGGTACTTCCAGAGCATGTTTGAATGGGGTAATGTCTGTCTCTTTCCCCCTCTCCAGTAATCCAAATCACGTAGGATAAAGTCCCTAACTTTGGGTTTTGAGGTGTTTTAGAGGTACCTTCTCAAAATAATTGCCATAGCAGCTGTAGCCAGTTATAGAAAGCTCATATCTTGAAGAAAGTACATGAAACTATATGTGACATGTACTTTTTATTTTCTAACTATGCCACAGGGGTCTGTCTGGGACCAAGAAGCATTGTTAGAAAGAAGGATTATGGTTAAGCTGGCCTTCGTTTTGCAAACTGCTAACTTTTCTTTTTTTTTTAATGTAAAAGAATTTTAATAAATGAAATTAGGTCACAACCAAATCTTAAGTAACTGAGTTTCTTCTCTTGTTTCAAACAATGGAAGCAGAAATGGGAACTTCACAGTTCAAATTTTGCCATGAGATTCCTGCTATTATTTTTTAACTAAACTCTCCAGCTTGGAAGAAATTGATACTAGCATAGTTACTGTCAACTTTTAAGTGTACTATAACAATGTAGGGAAAGCACCACATGGATTCCAAGTATTTTATTTATGTAAGTATGATTAAAATTAGTACCATTATTTAGGTTTCTCTGCATTTAAATTCTCCTATATATGATTGCATTGTTGATGATTTTTTAAAGAGATTTATCTGAAAAAAAGACAGGTGTAAAAGGCAACTAAACCGTTCATTTATTTGTTTTTTTAACTTATTTCCATCCTGTCTGGAAAATTGGCAAAGCTGGCTGAGGAACTCTGGGAGTTGAAGTCCAGAAGTCTTAAAGCGGCCAAGATTGGAGACCTCTGCACTAGACCAAGGTGGCTCCTCAGTTTGGTTTATTGTTATTCCCTCCTTCCTGTAACTGCCCCAAGGCAGAGCTAGAATTCATGGTCTCCCAGTTTCTTTGTACACAAACATTTGAGTAGAGAATGTATTCTGTTGTGTTCATATGGGTTGATACTGAAGGACACCATAATCTAATTTTTGAAATTATATTTCAGACTAGCTATATGCTTTAGTATTTGAAACCAATATCATTTACGAGCTTAAGAGCTTTTCAGCAGCAGGAAGAGAGACCTCATCTTGTGAGTGGTAACCTGCAAAATACTCTTTTTCCTCCAGCCACTTCCCCTCCCACCTCCAAATATATCTGTCTGTATGTGGTAGTTTCTGGTGATGAACACACCTGGCCACTAGATGGCACCCCTGTTCCATAACTTATTCTTTTGGGGGTGGTGGTGTGGAATCTAATTAGGCACCACCATTCCAGAAGAAATTGAGACCTGTAGATAAAGGTCATGTGGAATAGATTTGAATAGCAATCATACAACCCCTGCACTGTGTAACTAGTTACAGCAATCTGAAAAAGGGCAATAACAATGTTTTCCTCAATGGTAAAGTTGGCATGCCAGACACGTATAAGCATAAAGCATTAGTATTGTCTCAGGCTCTAAAAGAACATGCATTCACAATCTTAATAACCATCAGAAGTGCAAATGAACAAACTCATAGAGCACTAAGGACTCTACTTAATAAAAACACTAGGCATAAGGAATCCAGCAATGGTTGACTTCAAAGTTCAGTTGATGCCTGCCAATATCTTATCCTCTAGTCTGTGGAAACATTGTTCCAGTCTCTGGGGCTGCCCAATTTTGCCAAAATTAATCACAATGAAGTGTATGTTAATATTTCTTTTGATCATATAGGTGATTCCCTCTTTGTGCAAGGAGCTCAAGGTGACATATCTGAAGTTAGCCAGTTTCATTCTCCCAACCAACTCTGGCCATTACAATTAGAGGAATGAGGTAACTCAATTCAAGGAACAGATCATTGGCAATTCCAGCTTGTAAATTACTTCTTTCAGGGTATTCATTGGGAAGTGATGGAATTAGAGCCTCCTGCATAATTGTCTTTCATCTTACCTTGTCCATATGGGCAGTTTATCAGACATCATTCAGAAATACCCAACTTCAACACCCATCACTCCTGGAAGGTTTTGAAGGTTGGGCTTGGCTAAAAGATGGGTGAGACACTTGCCTAAGGCCATCATGATTAATTGACCCAGGAATGTAATACTAGAATACGGTACTTCCTGTTTCACAGAAACTCTTTTTTCATGCTGTTGTACGGAGGACAGAAACTAACTGTATCATACAGGTAAAGAGGCAATCATTTGGTTTAGTTTACTTTATTGCCATTGCTCCTGGCACAATAAAATTAAATGCCACCTTCAGTGTACATTATAACTATAAAAATAAAAAACAAACACATCCTTCACGTTCTATACAATTGAACTGAAAACCCAATATTGCATTAATATTTTACTATACAATAGAATTCAACAGGGCTACTGCCCTGGGATAGAAGCTGTTTTTCAGCCTATTTGTCCTTGTTTTTATTATTTTGTACAGTCTTCCAGTTGGTAATAGTTCAAAAAAAGGGTTACCAGGATGAGTAAGAATGTTTTGAACTTTCTTAAGGCATTGGGAGCTATAAAGCTCTTCCAAAGAGGGAAAAGAGTAACCAGTGATCCTCTGGGCAATTATGTTAACCCTCTGGAACTATCAGCCACTGTACAATTGGCAAACCATACACAGGTATAGTAAGTTAAAATAGAAAGTATTCTTTCTATGATGCAGCCGTAAAAGGTCACCAGCAATTTTTCATTCAGTTGTTGTTTCTGAGAGGACTCCAGTAGTATAATCTCTGCCCTGGGGCCGTTTTGACCAGTGCTACAATATGAGTGCCCCAGGGCAGATCCTCTTTTATGATAACATCCAGCAAGTTAAAACTGGCCACTTGCTCCACTCAGTCTCCATTGATGAGCAAGGGCTGGATATCTGATCTATTCTTTCTATAGTCCACTATAAGCTCCTTGGTCTTATTGGTGTTGAGGACCAAGTTATTGTCTCCACACCACGAAAGCAACCATGTAGGCAGACTCATTTTCTGTTCATACAGCCCATTTTTAAACATGCTGAGATACATACATGGACCTTAGACTTTTCTATGTACTTATATGGGTTAGTCTCTATGTCCATGATGTATGTGAGCTGGAGGACAGAAAACAATAACAAATAATACCCTCTCCTCCCTCCCTCCCTCTCTCTTTCCCCACCTCTCTCTCCCTCCCCTTCCTCTTGCTTTCTCTTCCCCTCTCCCCCCCTCCCTCCATCTCCCTCTCTCCCTCTCTGACTTCCCCCATTTCACACACACACACACACACACGCCACCCATAGAAAAAAAATAACAGATTAAACTAAACCAAACAACTGACAATGGATGAGTCTTTCACTGACTTTCCACTAACTGATTTGCATGTTGTATGCAAAGCCAGCCATCATGAGATGCCTTTTTTACCTTTGTGGTTCTGAATATGGACTTGATGAGATACAACCAATGCTAGGTGAAATGTCAATGAGTAAATGAATAAAATGTTTGGTAATGTTAGTGATTATTCTGACTAGGATACACTTTTCTCCAATCATACTCTGGGCGGAGCTAATATGAGTAAACCACAGAGCCACCTGCTGCAAAGAACTGGTATTGATCTCTACCCAAAATATGTGATTTTGCAAGAGTTGGGAGAATCCAAGGTTTGGATTTGTTCAGATTTGGCCTGATGTTTGTTTGCATTCAGCAGCCTTCTCCTAAAATTCTGCCAACAAATCCCTTTGACCTCTGTTCGGATTAGCATTGATCCGGAACTTGACCTCTGCTTAATTTTCAAATGAGGATTACTGGGGCTTAAATTTCACTTGGATCCTTGATCTTGAGATGAAATTAGATGGGGCTGATAATGATCAATAAAATGCACTCTTCAAATGATCAAAAGGCAGAAGCTTGACAGAGAAATTCCAGGCACTGCTTTGCGCAAATGTTGATTTAGCAAGCATTATTCCCATAAATGGGATGTGGTGGCAAAGACGCTGAGCTTGTCTATCAGAAAGGTTGGCAGTTCGAATCCCTAGTGCTGTGTAACGTAGTGAGCTCCCATTACTTGTCTCAGCTTCTGCCAACCTAGCAATTCAAAAGCATATAAAATGCAAGTGGAAAAATAGGGACCACCTTTGGTGGGAAGGTAACTGTTCCGTGAGCCTTTGGTGTTTAGTCATGCTGGCCACATGACCACAGAGACATCTTTGGGCAGTGCTGGGTCTTCAGCTCTGAAACAGAGGTGAGCAACACCCCCTAGAGTCAGGAACGACTAGCACATATGTGCAAGGGAAACCTTTACCTTTTATCCCTGCATATTCTGTTGAGAATCTATGATAGGAAGCAAGGGAAGGATTTTGAACACTGATTGCAAACTGCTTTCCTTTCTGGAATGTTATGATATTGTTGCAGATTCCTACATTCTGTGATAAACATAACTTAGAGGATGTGTAATTAATTACTCACTTATTGCACATGACAGAGTATAGGTAAAGGCTCCACTCACACATACATGCTAGTTGTTTCTGGTTCTAGGGGACGGTGCTCATCTCCGTTACAAAGCCAAAGACCTCGTGCTCTCTCAACACATCGCCGTGGTCATGTGGCCAGCATGACTAAATACCAAAGGCGCACAGAATGCTGTTACCTTCCCAACCAAGTGGTCCCTATTTTTCTACTTGCATTTTTGCATGTTTTCGAACTGCTAGGTTGGCAGAAGCTGGGACCAAGTAATGGGAGCTCACTCTGTTACGTGGCACTAGGGATTCGAACCATCAAACTGCTGACCGTTCTGAGCGACAAGCTCAGCGTCTTAACCACTGAGCCACTGCATCCCCTATGACAGAGTATACGTTTGTGTAAAATATACAAAAAGGTGGGGGGGAAATCCTCTTCTGGATCTGTGGTGGACAGTTCAACTGAAGCTCTAGTTGCAACCCAGAGTGGACATGCCGCTGGAGGTTCAGACTAGATAGCCCTTTTGAAGTCTCTCTTTTTATGTTGGGCATGCCTTGGTTTTCTGAGGTGTTCTATCAAATGAAGTGCAAGAAGAAATGCCTGATGAGTTATGGGAGAAAGATGAAAAATCATCAAGCAAGAACCTGTATTAGATATTACACTATAGTGATAAAAGTGGCCAAATGTTTACTCAGCATTCATGCTTACAGAGATGAGGACAGCTGAAGGACTATCTGCAGAGATGCTGTGGGGAATATTCTTGTTACTTGCTTGATTTGCAAACACTTGGACTCCAATTGGACATAAACCAATAAGTTGAGGTGTTCAGGAGAAGGTATTCATTGTACTGCAGTTTGAAGCAACTTTGATTCTATGATTCCTAAGAAATTGGATAGGGTTCTTTAGCCTTTTAGTTCACCAACCTGTTTGTTAGATCCAGATTTCTCTTGAATGGCTAAAGCCACCCAAGAGTGATCTGTGGTTGGATTTAGTTTTTTTTGGGAGGCAATCCCCTCAACTTTGAAGAAGATGGGTGCGTTTTGTCCACAGGAAAACAGACTTGAATCTTATCTTCCAGTCTCTAACCTTTCCTTTCTTGGCAGCATGGTGGAGGCGGTATTGGTCTCTTGCTCAAAAGGACCCTAGAAAGATTATTTAGTATAGCGATAGCACTGGTCTCTCTTGTTGATGCCCTGGATTAAAGCTAGGAAGGGTGTAATGTATCTATTTTCATGCTTCTTAATCTCTCAGTGGCTTCCAGTATTGTCAATTGTTTTTGAATTGGCCTTAGAATTTAGGGAAGGAAGGCACAATTTTGCACCAATTTTCCTCCTTTCTTTATGACTGGCTTCAGTTGGTATTGGTAAGTGGGGAGAAATCACATCCATGGCCCCTCAGTGGCGAGGTGTTGCAGAGTTTAGCACTTTTCTCCCCTTCTGCGTAGTATCTACATAAAACTGTTAAATGAAGTCATCTACCAATTTGGAATCAGATATCATTAATATGTGAATGATACCCAACAGTCTTGACACCTTGCCAGTCAAGCAATGCATCAAAGTCCTAAGCCAGTGTCTGGAAGCTATAAATGTCTGGAAAGGAAGACATGTACAGGATTCAGATTCAATTCTTACATGACAAAGGTGCTGTGTTAGTTAATTAACTTTATTGATTAGTCCTTGGGCCATATCAAAGTGCAAAGTTCCAGACAAATTATTACTAAAATCTGATAAAAACAATTTAAAATGGAATTGGATAAAATACAATTTAGAATGAAATTTGAATAAACTCGAGTTTAAAATTGGTATAAAAATTGATATAAAATACAATAATTTAATATCTAGAGATAAATAAAGTAGGATAAAATTATCCTACACCCATCTACCACAAAGGGGCTATGTCTGTTTGGCCTCCTGGGTCTAGATGGATTCCATTGTTGATTAAGTGGGGTTGCAGCTCTTCATATGAAATCTGTGCACAGTTTGGCTTCCTCCTTGGATTCTCAGTTCTCAGGTACAGGGTGCCTTCCCACAGATATTTTTGTAGTTTTTACTAGCCCTGGAGGATCTTGAGACTGTCACTTATGCCCTAGTCATTTTATGATTGGATTATTGTATCATACTGTTTATTGAGCTACCCTTAAGGACCATTCCGAAACTACACTGCTCAAAAAAAAATAAAGGGAACACAAAAATAAGACATCCTAGATCTGAATGAATGAAATATTCTTATTAAATACTTTGTTCATTACATAGTTGAATGTGCTGACAACAAAATCACACAAAAATTATCAATGGAAATCAAATTTAGCAACCCATGGAGGTCTGGATTTGGAGGTACACTCAAAATTAAAGTGGAAAAAAACACTACAGGCTGATCCAACTGTGGTGTAATGTCCTTAAAGCAAGTCAAAATGAGGCTCAGTAGTGTGTGTGGCTTCCATGTGCCTGTATGACCTCCCTACAACGCCTGGGCATGCTCCTGATGAGGTGGCAGATGGTCTCCTGAGGGGTCTCCTCCCACACCTGGACTAAAGCATCCCCCAACTCCTGGACAGTCTGTGGTGCAACGTGGCGTTGATGGATGTAGTGAGACATGATGTCCCAGATGTGCTCAATTGGATTCAAGTCTGGGGAACGGGCGGGCCAGTCCATTCGTCTTGCAGGAACTGCTGACGCACTCCAGCCACATGAGGTCTAGCATTGTTGTGCAATAGGAGGAGCCCAGGGCCAACCGCACCAGCATATGGTCTCACAAGGGGTCTGAGGATCTCGGTACCTAATGGCAGCCAGGCTACTTCTGGCGAACACATGGGCTGTGTGGCCCCCTAAAGAAATGCCACCTCACACCATTACTGACCCACTGGCAAACCGGTTATGCTAGAGGATGGTGCAGGCAGCAGAACATTCTCCATGGCGTCTCCAGACCCTGTCACGTCTGTCACATGTGCTCAGTGTGAACCTGCTTTCATCTGTGAAGAGCACAGGGAGCCAGTGGCAAATTTTCCAATCTTGGTGTTCTCTGGCAAATGCCAAACATCCTGCACGGTGTTGGGCTGTAAGCACAACCCCCACCTGTGGACGTCGGGCCTTCATACCACCCTCATGGAGTCTGTTTCTGACCGTTGGAGCAGCCACATGCACATTTGTGGCCCGCTGGAGGTCATTTTGCAGGGCTCTGGCAGTGTTCCTCCTGTCCCTCCTTGCACAAAGGCGGAGGTAGCGGTCCTGATGCTGGGTTGTTGCCCTCCTACGGCCTCCTCCACGTCTCCTGGTGTACTGGCCTGTCTCCTGGTAGCACCTCCATGTTCTGGACACTACGCTGACAGACACAGCAAAGCTTCTTGCCACAGCTTGCATTGATGTGCCATCCTGGATGAGCTGCACTACCTTGTGTGGGTTGTGGACTCCGTCTCATGCTACCACTAGAGTGAAAGCACCACCAGCATTCAAAAGTGACCAGACCATCAGCCCGAAAGCATAGGAACTGAGAAGTGGTCTGCGGTCACCACCTGCAGAACCACTCCTTTATTGGGGGTGTCTTGCTAATCGCCTCTGCTTTCCACCTGTTGTCTATTCCATTTGCACAACAGCATGTGAAATTGATTGTCAATCAGTGTTGCTACCTAAGTGGACAGTTTGATTTCACAGAAGTGTGATTGACTTGGAGTTACATTGTGTTGTTTAAGTGTTCCCTTTAGTTTTTTGAGCAGTGTACAATTAGTCCAGAATGTGGCAGCAAGGGCATGGAGGTATCATGTTATGCCCATGTGACCCTTCTGCTTTGTGAAATGCACTGGTTGGCAGTTGGCTTCCATTTTCAATTCAAGGTGCTAGTTACCACTTTTAAAGCTATTTAACAGATAACAGATAATCAGAGTTGGAAGGGACCTTGTTGGTCATCTAGTCTATCTCCCTGCCCAAGTGGGAGACCCTACACCATTTCTGACAAATGGCAGTCCAATCTCTTCTTGAAAATCTCAAGTGATGGTGCTCCCACAACTTCCGAGGGCAAAGTGTTCCATTGGTTGATTGTTCTCACTGTCAGAAAGTTTCTCCTTATTTCCAGGTTAAATCTCTCCTTGTTCAGTTTCCATCCATTGTTCCTTATCTGGCCTACAGGCGCTTTAGAAAATAGCTTGACCGTTTTCTCCCTGTGGCAGCCCCTCAAATATTGGAAGACCTCTATCATGTCTCCCCTGGTCCTTCTCTTTACTACTAGACTAGCCAAGCCCAGTTCCTGCAACTGTTCGTTGTATGTTTTAGTCTCCAGTCCCCTAATCATCCTGGTTGCTCTTCTCTGTACTTTTTCTAGAGTCTCTTTTTTATAATGTGGTGAACAAAACTGGATGAAGTACTCTAGGTGTGATCTTACTAAGGCTTTCTAGAATGGTATTAGTACTTCCCTTGATCTTGATTGTATCCCTCTGTTAATACAATTTAGGATTTCATTAGCTTTTTTGGCTGCTGCTGCACACTGCTGGCTCATATTTAGCTAGTTGTCCACTAAGACTCCAAGATCCCTCTCACAGTTACTGCTATTGAGCCTGGTTTCACCCAGTCTATATGTGTACTTCTGGTTTTTCTTACCTAAGTGTAGGAGTTTACTTTTCTCTACATTGAATTTCATGTTGTTAGATAGGGCCCAGTTTTCAAGTCTGTCAAGATCCATCTGGATCTTGAGCCTATCTTCTTGGGTGTTAGCTATTCCTGCCAGCTTAGTATCATCTGCCAATTTGGTAAATTCCTCTTCTATTCCCTACTCTAAGTCGTTAATGAAGATATTGAAGAGTACTGGGCCTAAGACGGAACCTTATGGCACCCCACTGCTTACTTCCCTCAATGTAGACTTAAACCTATTAAGGACTACTCATTGAGTACAGTTTGTCAGCCAGTTGCGAGTCCATCTAGTGGTGGTGCTATCTATTCCATTTTTTTCTAGCTTACTAAGAAGTAGGTTGTGGTCTATTTTGTCGAATGCCTTGCTGAAATCTAAATATATTATGTCCACAGTATTTTGCTGGTCTACTAATTTGGTCACTGTGTTGAAGAATGACATAAGATTGGTTTGGTATGATCTGTTTTTAACAAACCCGTGCTGACTGCTAGTTATTACTTTACTTGTTTTTAGATGTTGGAAGATCTGTTTTTTTATTATCTTTTCCAGTATCTTTCCAGGTATTGATGTTAGGCTGATTGGTCTATAGTTTCCTGGGCCTGTTTTTTTTTTCCTTTTTTGAAGATGGGAACCACATCAGCTCTTTTCCAGTCCTCAGGTAGTTCCCCGGTGCTCCAGGATTTTTGAAAGATATGGTGTAATGATTCTGAGATAACCTCATGTCATAGAGCCGAACGATTTGATGCACAGCTTGTGTCCAGTTGTCCTTGCCTGTCCAATTCTGTCTAGCAGGGTGGGTACATTTATGAAACCTGTCAATTAATGTCATGTTACACAACCCAAGAAGCATGCCTACTCTGTTGGACATTTTGCCCTCTGTCCTCAAAATTAATGTGTATCCCATTCATATGTACTACAGGAAATGATTGAAGACTTAGTTGTTTTTCCAGGTCTTTGGAATAGGATGATTGTGGAGATACTTTTTAATGGACTTTTTTTTGTCAGAATGGTTATGGGTTTGGTTTTGGTATTTTGCTTTCCTGATTGGTGATATTTTTCATACATTGGCATAACTTGCTCTGAGTTATTTAGATTTTGAGCATAGTATACACGAACACTAAGGGATAGGATTTGCTTACAAGTTTGAAGTAAAATGCTCTATTCTTCTCTGTTTTTGCCCATTCGAGAGATCCATTATTTCTTGGATTGTGTATCCTTTCATAAAGAGAGGGTGGGGGTTGTTTAAAGGTAAAGGTTTCCCTCGCACATATGTGCTAGTAGTTTCTGGCTCTAAGGGCAGTGCTCATCTCTATTACAAAGCTGAAGAGCCAGTGCTATCCGAAGACATCTCTGTGGTCATGTGGCCGGCGTGTGGCTGAAGGCTCACAGAATGCTGTTACCTTCCCACCAAAGTGGTCCCTGTTTTTCTACTTGCATTTTTACATGCGTTCGAACTGCTAGGTTGGCAGAAGCTGGGACAAGAAATGGGAACTCCCTCCGTTACACGGCACTAGGGATTCGAACCACCGAAATGCTGACCTTTCTGATTGACAAGCTCAGCGTCTTAGCCACTGAGCCACTGCGTCCCTAGGGATTGTTTACATTTTATTAAAATGAGTTTGGCCACTATAAAAAGAACTATTTCCACATAGGGTATTCTCTTCACAGGCATTATCTGAGCAATTATAACTTTATTTAAAGATTTGATTTCTGTAACGTCCCATTCCAACAAGTGACTATATATGGATTGAATATCCAATTTTCCACAATAGCTGATTGTGCGGTGGGGGAACAAGTTTTGGCCTTGTTTGATACAAGCATTTAGTTGGGACGCTGGTTGTAAAGATGGATATGTATGTTGTGGGGGAAGGTATATATATGCTGCATATATATTTATCTGGTGTATTTATACCCTCCCCCCTTTATTTTACTTTTCAAAATATGCAGCATGGCACACAGGCCTGCCATCCTTATGTAGTATCCTTATACAACAACTTTAAATCTAAGAGATGGTGATGACTCAGACTTCTTACTGAATTTTACACTCAGGGAAGATTTGAACTTGGCAACCACAGCTCACTGTCTTAGTTCTAGCACACAAATATTTCAAATCAGAATCTGTTCCAAATCTTTCTTCCCTTCCCACCCACTGGAGTTCATAGGGCTATTCTGTCTCTTTTCCTTCCCTAGAAGCTGGCGCCCAGATCAAAACAATTTTTGTATTCCCTGCTCTTCCTCTTCTCCTCTCCGACATCTCCAGGGAATTCCAAAAGCTATAAGGCAAAATCTCTGTGCCTTTCTTTCGTGTTCTGCTGCTGGCACATATTGTCCTCAGGTGCTGTCCAGGCCTCCTTTGCTGGCAGAGGGCCAAGCACCGTCATGCAAGCCGTTGTGAGCAACAGCAGAGAGAGAGCATAGTTTGGCACTGGTTCCAGGAACTCCTGGTACAAGCCGTGCCTATAAGCTTTACGTGGATGAGAGGACATCCTGTTGGGTACTTTAGAAATGGGGAGGGGTATCAGTCTGGTCGTACCAGTCTTGCCTCCCCCCTCAACTTTGCAGTCACGATAGTCTTTTTTTAGAAGCTGCATTGTGTACATGCTGATATGTAATGTTTGCTCAAAGAGTGCACGTACACACTGCCAGCCTGCGCTGCTTTGGGCTGCTTCCCTGACAAACAGCTTTTTTTTTTCTTTCTATTTTTCCTTTTGCATATCCTGCTGCGGTAATTCAAGCATTAAGTCTACATTTGGTTGGATATATATTTCTGTTGAAATGCCTATTAGACTGATGTGCAAGTGCTGGTTCTTACAGCTGCAGAAAACCTGCATTGGGGCTGAATCACATTGTATTACAGATGGGAGCTCACATCGCTGAGGGGGTTTCTATTCCATTTAACTATAAATATCCTCATGTAAACAGGTGTGTTTCCACCTGGGTGGGTGGGGGATTAGAGGCAAAATTAACTAATTTTCTCTTAAATATAACTTTTCATGCTAAGGGAGTATTTCTCTTTGGAGAAGTATTAAATTGTGCAAAGTCATCCCTGTGGTCTGAGTGGTTCAATCCAATTATAAGCAGTTATCTTGCTTGAGGTTAGACTAAACATATGGGAATCCTAGCAGAAAAAGGAGAGAAAGATGAAGTTATCCCTGAAATCCAATTCCCGAATCTAGGGTAAAATTGCCCTACCTAATGGGCAATTAGGTATTCCCTAATTTTATAGGGAACTTAGATGCTGGATACCTTCAATTTCAAACCATTCCTGATATGGAAATCTCAAATAATATGTAGATAAAAGATACATAATGCAGGATATAAAATTGCCACATGTGGCTCTTCCCACCACAATTGTGATAGCCAAGTCAAAGCAAATTGTGCTTCCGTGTGATCAGTTGACACAGGGGCTGCTGAATGAGAGCTGTTTTTCATTTCTTGTAAATCCTTTTCAAAATAATACATTCTAACAACCATTTTGGATGCTTATGGTTATGTGCTATTATTATTACTATTATCTGTTCCTGCAACTTTCTTGCTCTTAATCCTGAGCAGAAATCTCCCTGGCATTTGGGCTGCATTTGGTGCATTTATGTCTTGTTCATAGGATTTTATCTGTAATGACTTCATGGGACTGTTTACCTAAAGAGACCTACCTGAGCTCAGTCTTGTCTTATTGGATGATTTCAGAAATCATTAAAAAAAATCCTCTTTGCCAGGTTTTTAAAAATAGTTTGCAAATAAGGTGGGGATTTTTTTTAATTGAACTGTATGAAATTGCAAAAACATGGGAGTCCCCCTCCCAATTCAGTTTGTTATAAATATACAGGTTGCAAAGAGGTCCAACAGGGTGTCTTCCTTGCTCCGCCTTCTTCATTCCATTTAGCACACAGCTGCCAATAAAATATCAACATGCAAATGAGAGTGCTTGGACTGGCAGATGATTGGCGGAGCTTCAGCTGAGGTCACCGTTTGTTGTTGTTTTTGATCCAGGCCAAAAAGGACATTTTGTCTTTGGAATTTATTTTGGAAGGAAAAGCTAGTGGAGAGACATGCATTTCTGCACACTTACTCACTCTGTTGGGTGGGGGTGGGGGATAAACCCAGACTATTACATGAAGAAAAGTCTATTCCCTGTATAAGTTGTAATGGCAGTGATGATCATCATAATAAGTCAAAATTTCACCCTCCTTCCATAGTTGTTAAAATCACCATGGTGGGGTGGAAGAATGGGTACTGATGTCATGCAGAATTCCTAATTAAAATTAATCATTATCATATTTATATTTTGCTCTGTTTAATATTTCTCACAATAAAATATTCATAATAAACAGATAAAAGAAAATGCTCATATTGGCCAGTAGCAAACAACACCTGGATTGCTGAATTCTGGAACAGTTTAAATTTCTGAGTGTTTTTTAAAGGCAATGTGCAATATTAAGCACATTGTAGTAATCCAGACAAGTGGTGATGGCAGTGTGAATTAATCATCAGGAGGTCTTTGTACTTCAGATAACCCTGAAGTTTGTATACCAACCATTGCTTCACAAAGGTCCGGAGGCTTCAGCTTCCATCTGACCACCAAGCAGTAGTTGCGGGTTCAGAAGCAGAGGCGGTATTCAGGTGGTTCGGACCGGTTCTGGCATACCAGTAGCGGAAATTTTAAGTAGTTTGGAGAACCAAATACCACCTCTGGTTGGTCCTGCCCACCCACCCCCGCTATTTCCTCTCCTATATTCCCTTGTTTTTTAAGCTCAGCTGATTTGCATGGCAGAGCAGATCAGCTGATCTAAAAAACAGCTTTGTTCACCAGCGCTGACACAAAGGGCAGTTTCTGAGCGCTGCACATACAAAGTATTCTCTCATAGAACTGGTAGGGATAAAATGTGGAATCCCACCACTGTTCAGGGATCCCAGTGTCATAGACCTGCTCTTTCAGGAGTGATGCTACCCTGTGAAATGACCATTCTGAAGATATCACTCAGTTAAAGCAGTGCAAACCCATTCAACTTGTTTCATCCTACCCAGACCCTTCACAGACTTTAGATACAATCTTTCAACAAAATGTCATTTGTTGCTTGGGCCACAAACTACCCAGCAGTTTCATGTAAATATAAAAAAAACAGAGGAGACAAACTGATCCATGCAGCATTCCACAGAGAGCAACTCCTTGGTCATTCTGGAACTGTCCATTGAAGAAAGAGCAGAATTTTTATGGGTAATCCTTGCTTAGCAATAATTAGGATTGTAAACTCATTTGCTAAGCAACCTGGTTATAAGGCATGCTATCACGTAATTGCACCAATTTATGATAGTAGTTGCAGCAATCCCAGTTTCTGTCATCAGGCAAATTCTGAGCAGTCACAGCATACTCCAGTCAGATAACCATTTATAATTTTCTGCTGGTTTCCGCATTGACTTTGCTCATCAGAAGCCAGCAGTGGAGGTCACAAATGGTGATCATGTGGCTGGGGAAGACTGTGATTTATAATTGCAAGCCAGTTGCCATGTGGTTATGAGATAGTGTGACAGTTGCAATATAAGAACCCATCATAAGTCCTCCTTGTTCAACACCACCATAACTTTGAATGAGTGTTCCAAAACTGAATCCCTCCCTGCCCATGGTCAAGAAGGATACCAGGCCACTGCTGTTGAGGTCTGCTGAGAAATCCAAAAATACTGTAATAGGCATATTTCTCAAATCCCATTAAAGGTTATCCAGAGGGCTACTGAAGCTGTGTCCATCCCATATTCCAGCTTGAATCTTAAGTGAAAATGGCCCAATAATCTGGTTCATCTAGGTTGTTCTGCAGTTGTACCCTGATTACAATCGCCTAACCATACTCAAGAATTGGTGATTAGATACAGGACCATAGTTGTCCCGTACAAAGAGATCCAAAAAGGATCTTTTCAGGCAGGGTACATCACAAAACTGTCTCACCTGTCTTTCCTGAATAGACGTGTTAACTACCTCTCATTCCAATTCATCATACTCAGATTCCTTGAAGAGTCAAGAAGATGGATCAAGCTCATATGTATCCAGAGATAGCTAAGAAAGTGCTATATCCATTTACCTCAGAGTCTAGGCAAGTTGATGTATCTGTATCACTATAATAGGCTCTCCCCATGAAAAGTCAAGCCTTTGCAAATTGGAGTGACCATCAGCAGAATGCTATGCTAACTGCTCATAGTGGGAAATCTACCTGCTGCTTCTACCCTAAACTAAGCTGCTAGCTGATAAGCCTGCCAGTATTATAAGCAGGGGTGGGTTTCAAAAATTTTAGCAAAGGGTTCTCTGCCTGGTTGCCGGGTAGACATGGCCATGGTGGGTGTGGCCTAGTCAGCCTCCTACACCACAGGGGGGGTGTTTTTGCCCTACCTAGGCTACAGAGGTTTTCCTCGAGGGAAAAAAGGGCGAAAATGCCATCTCTGGGCTCCGAAGGCTCTCTGGAAGCCAGAAATGGGGCCATTTCCAGCCTTCCCGAACTTCTGGGAGGCCCGGTTTTTGCCCTTTCCGAGCCTCCGCACACACCCTGCATTTACCTGCATCCAAAACGGGCCGCATGGGGATTCCTGGGGTGGGCTGGATGGGGCCAGCCAGGAGTGGGATTTGGGGGGTTCTCTGAACTGCACAGAATTTTAGCTAGGGGTTCTCCCAAACCCCTGCAAGCCCCCAAC